TTTATTAGAAATGAAGTGAATTTACTATAACTTTTAAATTTAATAATGGCAAGAATTTTACGTGCTTTCATTTGTAAGTTACATTACGAACTGTATACATTTATGAGAGAATGTATTTATTAAAATGCTTCGCTATAGCGATTGCATGCCGATTGTTAAGAACAAATATAAGTGATTCCTGTTATTATGCAATATTATTAGGCCCAAAGACACTATTTTGTGCACTTGAAAGAAACAGCCTCTTATTATATTTTAGTTTTAATGTAAGTTTGCACAACCTTAGCATCACATGCTTGCACCATTTCATGCAAATTACAACACTAGAATTATATTAGACCCTAAAAAAGTAACGAGTTCATATATATATATATATATATATATATGGTGCGTGCGTGTGTATTTTATTGTACTAATAGTCTTTTATAGCTTTCAATAATTTATATTGATGGTTATAAATATAATTAGTTGCTTATTCTTTAATTCATTTCATATTATATCCAAATTTAATATTTACAGTACACGGCCAAGGAATATATACAATTTCAAACATAGCACATAAATTATCATGTAAGAAAATTTATTAATGAGATTATTAGCAAATATAATTTTTTCAACAGGCAATGTATCGACGTATCATAGAAGCACGAAATAACCAAGGTGCCCTTGATCCAGAGATCACGTTGCAGTTCCTAAAATCGGCAATTTACTATTTCTTAACGGATAAAGAAAATCATCATGGGCATTTGAACGCAATTGAAAGCATTTTAGGATTTACAGAAATTGAAAAGCACAACATTGATAAAATATATCGATCAGTGAGAAAATAATATTTAAAATTTTTTAGTTGTAAATAGTTCAGTTGAGATAGACCCAAAATCTTGTGAATTTTTTACTGAATGCCAATTGAAGAATATATGATCAAGTACGAATTTTATTTGATCTGGATTTTGTTCCAAATTAGTTCATATAAATTATGAGTTGCATATAATAGTAATATTATTATATATTTTTTTATAATTGACAATGTGAAATTCTATTCCATTAGTATAAAACATTTGCATCATATATTTTACTATATTTTTCTTTTAATTTAAATCCTTTTACAAATCATTTAAATGAGAAAGTCATTATATACAATTCTCTTTAGTGATTTTTATTCATTTTGCGTAAATTATTTAGCAATTAATTGTATTACAAATTTTCTATATTGATATTATGGTGATTTATTACATGAAGGAAATAATAACTTACGATAACAAAAATATTTTTTACATTTCTAATTTTTTGATTTTAGTACAATATGAACATTTAATGGAATACAATTTCATGAACGAGTATCACTTAAAACTGAGCGATTTAATGTTTATTACGTTTTGACACATAAATTTGTTTTTATTGTGTGATGTAAATAATTTATGTATAAACGTATATTTTTATTTGATTAAATTGAAAGTTCCACTTATGAAAAAATAAATTAAACATATTTGAGAATAACCTACAGAAATTATTAATAAAAGTAAATATAATCATAGATAAAAAAAATCATTTGTTTGACTTCAAAATAACCATGACTTCAATACGAATAATAAAAAATAAAACTAAATTTTCACAAATCTGTGAAATGAATATGTTCATAACACATTTTTATTGAATCTATGACAATTTTACATTTGAGCTGCTGCACATCAATGCTCATCAGTCTTTTTTTTACTAAAATCAAAATTGCTGCAAATACTGCAACAGCACTAATGTCTTGCTTGTTTTGCATGAGACAACTCAATTTAGCTTCCTGTTGAACTTCATAGCGTCTGTATACAAAATGAAGAATGATTCTTAAATGAAAGTCCATACTGTGGCTGATGAATCTATACAATATATAAAATATGTAAAATATGTTGTATAAATTTATGTTCGAGTTATGGATGATTGAAGAAAATGGTCAGTGTGTTTAGTACATGCTCAGTGTACATTGTACAACATGTACATTGTATTACGTCAAAATCTTTATTTAATGTTTTCAAAAAAAAAAAATATCTATCAAAATTCAATACATTAAACTTTTATTTTTGATGCAATTTACAATTTATTCAATTGAGGTGAATAATGTACACGATCTACAGAAAATATTCAGAATGGATTTGAAGCTATTCGAGAAATACTTGATATTTTCAAGTTCAAACATTTTCAAATATTGATTAATAAGTTTGCTTTCTTAAATTTTTATTTCCTTCTTTAATGTAAAGAATGTTTCAATAACATTTTCATACTAATATAAAAAATTACTTTTTAAATTTCCATAATCTATATTGTATTTGATATTTCATCTGATCTTGGTTTTTTTATTTAAAATATACAATTACTTTATATCACTTAATGATAAATATATTGCATAATATTTCTGTTAACAATTCTGTAATTTCAATATATTATTTTATATTTATTTTAGTAATAAATTTTTGCTTGTAGTTGCACAATACATTTGAATTAAAAATATATTAAGCAGAGAGTGAAGATTAATATTTAGGTATTCTGTCAGGTAATTAATGCATGTATATAATCGGTCATATATTGCTTAAGATGTTTAATTTATTTTTTACAAATGAAACTTCTATCTCACAATTGCCTTTAAATAAATATAACAAACTATTTATTATATATTATCTTCATTATTTTAATAATTATGAATTACATTAATTAAGTGATACTCTGTATATTTAATAGTTACAAATGTATTGTGTTACAATATAAAGATATAATATTTAAAGTTTTTTTTTGAACCTAAACAATAAACAAAAAATCTAAAATAATATTTTCCATTTTATATGCTCAATATAAAATTTATGACAGAAATATTGATTATGAATTGTTTCAAATTAAAATTAGGTTTTATATAATAAATTATAATGTTAGTTTTCTACAATTTCCTATTACATGATAAGATGATATATACATTACATGATATATAAAAATGAATTTCATAAGTGAATTTCATCAAGAATTTATAAATTATATTGCATCATTACTTTTATCATTTTGATTTATTCTTTATGTTTATAACTTATTAAAATCATAAATCAAATACTTTGGAATTTAATATTATAGTTTACAATATACATACATACATACATTTATGTCCCATACATTTTTAAAAAGAATGTTACCAAAAAATATTCACACAGTTTTCAAGAAAATATAACATAAATAATTTTTATTTCTTCGATAGTTTTTGTTTCATTAAAGTGAATATTAAGTATGCAAAAACGAATGTTAATGTATAAAAACATGAAAAATAATAGCATAAATAGCATGAAAAAATGCACCATTAAAACAATTTTCATACCTGCCTCTACATGTTTTCTAAATGAATTGCGTTAGATGAAATTGTTTTTGCAAATGTATAATGTGTTTAATTAACATGCAACCAAGATAATTAAAAAAAAAATTGTAACTAATTTGTCATATTGTTCATGAATAGAATTTTAAATTATTTTAAATTATACTTACTGTATGTAGGTTTTTAATTTAATTAATTCAGTTCTTGAAGTTATAATATTGACACAAATATAAATTTAAAAATTTATTATTTTTCTGAAATGAGTATATGTAGAAATGAGTAATATATATTAAATATTTGTTTTAAAATATTATGAAAATATTTGTTTATTTTTTATGTCAAAAAAATTAAAAATATACAAATTGTTTATAATATATTGTAAGTTAAAAAGTAAATTTTTTTATTACTTTTATTAGTTTATTATTTAATTGATTTTAATAGTATCAAAAGTTATATAAAGTGTATATACACAAGTGTATAAATGTATGAAGTACAGTAAATGATTTAATCCTTTGCATTGCATCTGAAATTGGTCGACAATATGTTAACTAATATACTACAACTGCATATGTAATTATGATAATCACAATCTTACTGTAAAAAATGTTTTATAAATGTACATTATACGTCACATTATGTAATATATTGTACAAACTATACTATCACATTCAGTATTATTACATGTTTCATATTAAATATGTTCTATATTGTATAAAATATATTTCATATAATATATGTATTTAATATACTAACTTTATTTATCCCAATGCAAAAGATTAGATATATTTACTTTATGAGAAGGAAAAGAGAATCTATCAATTCCAGGATGGAAGATAGAAATTATTATACCATATATTGAATTTTAAAATGCAAGGCTATTTCAATTCTTAAACATAAATTATGTAAATTTATGTATACATATATTTAATAATTATTAAGAAAGATATAGTATACATAAATAGATTAAATCATTAAAAATATGGCGTCCAAATAAAGGAACAATTTGGAGAGGAAAATATTTTGCCTTTTTATCTATTTGATTACATCAAGTTAAGTAGATATGAGAAAGTATCATAGTGCAATTATTTATGAACGTCACATGAATATTGAAAGAAATACGTTTCTTATATATCTGTTACAATTTTATTTCACATGTTTTAAAATGATTCACTATATATACTATTAGATTAAAATCAAAGATAAATTTAACTAGTAAAAAATGATTAAACATAAATCACAGATCATGAAAAGGAATCGTACATATATGCTTTACTATATTGTTGTTAAATATTCTAATATTGATCAAATATGGCTCTAAAAAATTAACTTTATGCTTTAAATGTCATTACTATTTAATTAGATTGCTGATTTTTATGCATTTATAAAAAGATGCAAAAATGTATATAATACATACATATAATACGCAAATGTATTAATGTAAATATTATATGCATTTAATAATGCACATAATACACAAAAATTAAAAATAGAATATTTAGATAAAAGTAAAATAATTTTGTTTTTAGGTTCCATTTCTTTAGTTATATTTATAAAAATTTTAAAATGTATAAAAATCAACAGTCTATTCATAATGATATTAGACTACAAGGGTATTGGAATGCAACAAGTTTATAATCCATATATTTTAAAAAAGTTGTATAGTATATTATATATTTGTTTGCATTTGAGTTAAAACTACTATAAATAAATATAGTAATAAATTTATATTATTAATTTAAATTAAATTAATATAACACTAATTTTCCAGTACTTTTATTTTAAAGAGAGTTGTCAAAGATAAAAATAAAATATAACTAAATCAAACATTAAATTTTGATTTCTATTTTTGAAAATATATTTAAAATATGTTTATAATGTGAGTGAACATACATTTTATTTATATATTTTCATTACTTATTTTCGAATCTAATATATTTCATGCATATCACAAAAAATAAAAAATAATAAAATTTGAAGTTAGAAAAGGAAGCGTGTAATAAAAGAATGATACGTGTAATTTCAAAGAATGTATTTATATTTCTAAATAGCATCTTTATTATGAAAGATATACACAACTATAACTATGAAGTTCCTTTTTAAAATTCATTTAAAGTTAAGGGGACATTAAATGCAAGTTTGAGTCAAGATATTTAATAAAGATTCAGTTCCATATTAGTTTTTTTACTCATAATTTTTTGTAAGTAACAGCAAGAAATAAATCATATGTAAAAAATAATACATAGAATTATAATTAATATATATACTAATACAACGCCTTCTGTATTTCTACATCTGTACACTATTAATATTTACTATTAATATTTTTTCCCCAAGTGACTCTAAAATGAATTAATTATTAAAAGTGTTGATTGTGTATAAAATATTCTTAAATTATCTTCTTCATGGAAACATTTATGTCAAAATATTTTACTTGTATATGTAACATACTGGTGATATGATATAATGGTTATTAATAAAATGTAATAAGATTCTAACTTATTAGCATATAAGCATTTGTTATAACCTATCCTTTTTCATTGTAAGAACTATTATTGAAGATTTTGAAGAAAATTAATAGTTAACAATAAAGTTAATAATTGAATAGAAGAATAGTAGAATAATATAGTAATTAAATTCTTTGGATTGCTTATAGATTGTAGAATATGCTAGTTTATACGATATATTTGTAGATTTAATATCAATTTTTATTTTTAAAAATGTAAAGAGGAATTTATTTACAAAACTATCACAGCTGCAATGAAACAATTTTTTTCATTTTTTTCATTGTTTATTCTTTAGATACTGCTCTTTCATATTATCATCTATTTCGTTCTATATAAAAGGACTTAAAAATTTGATAAAATCAAAAATTCTGTGAAATAGTAAAAAAAACTATTCTCGTGATCATTATTTTGATCGAAAAAAAACAGTATTATCATTGGTATTATTTTAATCTCTTCAGTTTTTTGCTACGATGTGTTTTTAGCAAAGCTATACTTCTGTATTTGATGCGATGCAAAAAAGAATGTAATAATAAAATTTATATCCGACGGTGCTTTATATTACGTAATCACGCTAGAATAAACTTTCAACATATTAAAATTGAAATTAGAAATTAGAATGAATAAATTGAAGATCTTTTTCCATAGAATTTAAAAAAACCATAAAAGATTAGTGTTGTATACTGCTCTTTTCAAGTGGGAAACAAGTGAGTACTATAGTAGCGTACCGTTCAAAAAGATGACATGTGAACGCCATTATAGTAACGTTCAGTAACTAAGAGATTAATATAGTAAAAAATTCGCATAACTTAGTCGATGACTTAATATAATTTATGAAATTCTGGTTCTAATATTTTTATAATATTATTGTAAAATATTAATTATAAAATTGAATATAAAAAAAAATTTCAAAAATATATACCTTTTGTAGTATTGAAATATGTAATGAAGATGTTAAAATTATTACACAGATAATTTATTTTTAAAATTTTTATGAAAGAACTGTAAAATACAAAATGTGTATATTACTTCTTTCCAGCTATAATAATACCATCATATTTCTGTTGGAACCATTTCATTGCATCTTCTTTGGTAAGTCGATGTTGAAAACCGACTTTTCCAGTTTTTCTTCTTCTGTGAGCTACATTGAAACCTGAACAGAGGAAAGAAATATAAATTATATATAAAACAATTTTTATTAATTAAAATAAGCAAGTGTAAATGAAGGCAATGACGTCTCTATAGTTGTTAAGGATATCGCATTTGAATCATTTACAAAAAATTACTATCAAATTAGAATTTTATTATTAAATTTGAAGTAGAAAAAATTCATTGTGTTAGAAAGATGAATTACAATAAAGTTTAAAATATCAAATAGATTTTCAAATTAAAAGGAAAAAAATTATTTAGTCAAAATTTTCAATTTATAAAATATTGACTATAACATATCAAGTACGTTAATAAAACTGTTGCTTCACTTAAGTAACACACCCAGTATTATAAGTGGGCATGAGTTGCAAATATGAAGCTTATATTCTAGCACATATTATATATAGGTACAACTTAAACATAGTAGCAACTATAATGCCAAATGTGCATATTTATCATATTGATTTATTCTAAAATACCAAATAATAAACAAACCTGGTCGTCCAAGTACAACATAGAAATCCAAGCCATAAATACCAATACTGGGATCATACTTAATCCCCAAGTCAATATGTTCTTGAATACCAAAACCAAAGTTTCCAGTGCCAGAGAAATTTTCTTTCCTTAATTCATATTCTCGCACCTTCAAAAAGAAAAACAAAATTAGATAGCTAGAAAGAAATAAATGAATATTGCAAATACAAATAATAAAATTACCTTCAATCCACGTTCAAGAATTTCTTCTGCTTTAGCACCTCGTACTGTACAATGCACTGCAATTTTTTCATTACGGCGAATACCAAATGAACGCACAGTATATCTTGCTTTGGAAAAGACAGGTTGCTGTCCAGTTAATTGTTCCAGTACCTATAAAAATTGAAAAAATCTTAAGAATAAAAAATTCATTTTTAAGAAGTCAGATTTGTCAACATCATTAAACAAGGATGTATAAAAATATGTGTTTATATAATTATGATATAATAAAGGAAAATAAAAAAATTATAATAATTTCAGTTTGATATACAAAATATACATAACATCTCTAACAAATACCTTTGCAGCACGGGTGAGTCTATCACCAGATTCACCGACACAAATGTTTAAACAAAGTTTACGAATGCGTACTTCACGCATCACATTCTTGGCTGCATCCTTTGGCTCCTTTCTCCCTTTCTTTTCCACTTTCTTCAATTCCTATAAATAAGAACAAATAATTTGCCAACATGCTTTTTTTAATGAAAAATGCATATTTCAATTACTTTATATAAACATTAAAAAACATTCAAAATATTGTTTTATTTTATAACAATAAATTACAATATTAAAATATTTAACCTTTTCATATTAATTTCTTAAACTAACATGTATGAAGAACTATTTTACATATTTCAAGTTTTATAAACATGAAATTTAGGTTATATTCGCAATACATGCTGAACATAAATCTCATCTGTCATAGAAACTTTATAAATTAAGATATTAACAAGAAATAAATTTATCAATGTTAAGTTAATAATAAATATTTGTTTATAATATATAAAAAATCTTTCTTTCAAATACGATGTTTTTGATATTTAAAGATTATAAAATTTATTTTTAAAATAACGATTCTACACTCACCGCCATGATGAAACGAAAGGAATGGAACCGTAATGCACTCTGGTGAGTACTAGGAGAAACTATCTCCAATGTTACCAAATTAATAAAATTAAATTTGGAATAATATAATATACATAAAATATAGAAGTACCATTATTTAAGATATATTTAAGATTATAATTAAGAGATTATATTTAAGATATATTTAAGATTATAATTAAGAGATGTTTAAAGACATTTTAGTTTCCATTTATAAATTATAATTAATTATCTTTTTGATGATCATGAAATTATAATTAATACTAAATTTAAATAATTTAATAGTATGCAACATACATACATACATACATACATACATACATACATACATACATACATATATATATATGAGAGAGAGAGAGAGAGAGTTACACACGTGGGCAGTAATTTAGTGTACCGTGGA